GTTGTGGTGACTAAGGGGTGTAGTGGAAGTATGATGGTCAGTAAGTCCTGATGTGGTGCTGCGGTGACTAAGGGGTGTAGTGGAGGTGTGATGGTCACTGGGCGCTAATGTAGTGTTGTGGTGACTAAGGGGTGTAGTGGAGGTGTGATGGTCACTGGGCGTTGATGTGGTGTTGTGGTGACTAAGGGGTGTAGTGGAGGTGTGATGGTCACTGGGTATGGATGTGGTAGATATGCTGTTGTCTGTGTGAGCTATGGTCGTGGTACTGTGATGGCCATTAGTTTGGGTTTCACCAAAAGCACTTATGGGTCTGTGTGTGCTAGTTAAAGCTGTGGTACTGGGGATAATGGTTGTTTTTCTGTCATTCTTTGAATTTTCATTGCTGATGTTTGCGTCCAGAGCTGTTGTTGTAGCTAACTCATGATCAGGGTTGGTAGTTGTGCCAAAGGTGCTGTTGCTGATAGCTATAAGAAGTTAGAGACACTAGGTTAGGCTGGAGCCCAACAGACCAGGAGAGTTTTAGGCAGAAAGTAAAAGGAAGAAATTTTAGGAAGAGGATGGGTGGAGAAAGCCCGAAGACACCAGATACTCCACCTTCCTTGAATCCATTGCTGGCCCATAACTCCCCTCCCTGTTTCTGTTTCTAGTTTTCTTCCATTGTTGCTCTGCTCACACACACACGCACACACACACACACTCTCTCTCTCTCTCTCTCTTCCATATTTACCACACCTCTCCTACCCTCTCACCCCCAGGAAACATTCTAGGTAAATCAAGCAGGACTCCTCACTGCCCGCTGCCTTGTCCTTTCCGCAGGGCCTTCTCTCAGTCCCAGGTCCCTATGACCCCTTCTTCTCCTTCCTTCCCTTTGGCCCCAGCTTTAAACCTCTCAGCTCACCCTCACACCAGATTCCCTCCCCCTTTAGCTCACTCTGCCAGAGCTAAAAACTAGCCCAGAGGCCATAAAAAAATGGTATGAATCAAGCCACCCCTTCCCCATCTCTTTTTTCCCTGCCCTCACCTGTAGGTACCAGGAACAATACAAGGACCAGGGTGGGTTGGATGCCAGGGGTCATGGTGGTAACCAACGGAAGAGAGCACTGAGCAGGCTGGGCCAGGTTCTGCCCAAAAGGCTGGGTCGGGCTCAGGAGCCCGCTGCTTTATACCGGTCCTCCGCCCGAGGCTCCGACAGCCAGAGCAGGTGACAGGTGACACAATCCCGCCCCCCAATCCCTCCTCCCTTCTACTTTTCCTTCTCCTCCTCCCCACACATTCCTCTGACCCCTCGGGTACACTGGGCTCCGTATCACTCAACCCTCTGACAACCTGTTTGTTCTCCACCTGGCGTCACCCCCATCTCCCCTCCCTTCCCCCACATAGAGGGGAGCCAGACTGCCTATGATCCCAGACCTTCTTTCTGGACCCTGGGGCAGTGCCTGAGGTGGGAAAATGGAACGGAGATGAAATGTGTTAGGTCAGTACCTCTGGAACCCCAAGAACGCTACATCACCTTCCAGCCCCTAGAGTCCCTGACTCTCTGGGCTACAGATTCATTTAGGACCCCTCTCAGGTCACCCCTTGTTGGGTTCCCAGCAGAAAGGAAGATTGAATTTGGAATAGTTACCCCCATTTCCCGAAACTGCCCCACCCAATGCCAGCCCCTCCCTGTTCGTTCTGCACTGCAGATCTGACCCGACAGTCCCCGCCCCAGGGTGGCTTTT